ATGGAGTTTACGAGCCTCTCTTTGAACGATGCTCGAGGTTTGATCGCGATTGAACTACTACATAAACTCAAGTTTGACCAAACTTGAGTCAAACATTGACTCGAGCGCTGGTGAACTGTTTGTGAGCCTACAACTTGTTTGAGCCCAGTTCAAGAATGCAGTTAATCAATAACATTTTTTTATTTTTCAAAAATAATTAAACTAAGACTAACTTTATCGGTGACCCAATGAGTAAGTCACAAATTTATTTTTTGCTTAAAAAAAAGTGTATTAGATAAGTGTGTGAAAATTGTGTCGCGACCTGTGTAGTGTGTGAAAATAGGACTCTTGCCCATTTTGATTGGATAAGTGTAATTTTTTGTATAAAAAAATATTAAAACTTGTATTTTTTTATTCTCTACAAATAGAGACCACATTTGATATATTTTGGAATAAAATTATATTTTTTAAATAAATTAAAATAAAGTAAATATTTAGTTTAAGTTCGGTTGAGGATGAAGAAAAATTGAGTTGTAAGGTTGCGTTGTGTAGGTTGAGGAGAGAGAAATAATTTTTAATTATTAGGTTGAGTTGGATTGAATTTGGAATAATAGTCCAAAGATAAATTTTCTGGATACGGGGTGTATTTAATTAGGATGTATAAAGACTTTAGAAATACTGGTGTATTCAATTTATATTTGTGAAGACTATTAAAAGTCCTGGGCATTGAATTGGGATTTTAAAAAGTCTTACAAAATCATGATGTATATAACTTATTCGAGACTATGATTTGTTAAGACTTAATAAGATTTGATGAGATTTATAAAGAAAAACGAAATTCCACTTTAAATCTCACCTCCAGACTTGTGTATTCAATTAGGATTTAAAATGACATTTTAAGGCTTTTTAAAATTTGAGACTTTTTAACATTTTCAGATTTTGAATGAATGATGTGAAATTCTTGCGGGGGATTTCAAGTGAGATTTCGTATAAGCTTTTTTTTTTTGTTTAGAAATCCCACAAAATCTTAAAAAGTCTTAATAAATCATGGTGTCAAATAAATTAAATACCTCAAGATTTTGTAAGACTTTTTAAAATCCCAGTTGAATCCACCAAGACTTTTAAAAGTATTAAAAAGTTTTAACAAATATGAATTGAATACACCAAGATTTCTAAAGTCTTAAAAAGTCCTTACAAATCACAATTGAATACACCCCCCAAAATTTCTCCAAAATATGTAGATCTTCACTTATATGGTATCTTCACTTATATGGTCATAAGTAGCGGTTCATGGAGGATCGGATTTGATCCGAGTTTGGTCACATTTATACTGAATAGGAGCTAGGCAAGGGGCTAGCTTGGCATGAGCACTTCAGTGGTATACCAAAGGTGTGTCAGCTAGGCGAATTTCAAACAGCTAGGCGTGGTTCAACCAGCTAGGCAGTCCAATCAGCTAGGCATGGTTCAACCAGCTAGGCGTGGTTCAACTAGCTAGGCGTAGTTCAACCAGCTAGGCGTGGTTCTATTAGCGAGGCGGGGACTAGCTAGGCGGAGTACCAATGGGAGCTAGGCGAGGACTAGCTAGGCGGTGACTAGGTAGGCGAAGTGCCAAAGGTTGGTAAGCTAGGCGGATGGCTAGACGAGGACTAGCTAGGCGGAGTACCAATGGGAGCTAGGCAAGGACTAGCTAGGCTGTTACTAGCTAGACGGAGTGCCAAAGGTTGGTATGCTAGGCGCATGGGAGCTAAGCGAGAGCTAGCTAGGTGTGGTTCAACCAGCTAGGCGTAGTCCAATCAGTTAGGCATGGTTCAACCAACTAGGCATGGTTCAACTAGCTAGGCGTAGTTCAACCATCTAGGCGTGGTTCTACTAGCGAGGCGGGGACTAGCTAGGCGGAGTACCAATGGGAGCTAGGCGAGGACTAGCTAGGCGGTGACTAGCAAGGCGGAGTACCAAAGATTGGTAAGCTAGGCGAGGACTAGCTAGCTGGTAACTAGCTAGGCGGAGTATCAAATTAGGCGAGGACTAGCTAGGCGGAGTACTAAAGATTGTAAGCTAGACGGATGAGAGCTAGGTGATGACTTACCAGGCGAGGACTAGCTAAGCGATGACTAGCTAGGTGGAGTACCAAAGGTTGGTAAACTAGGCGGATAGGAGCGAGACGATGACTAGCTAGGCGAGGACTAGAAAAGCGGTGACTAGCTAGGTGGAGTACCAAAGGTTGGTAAGCTAGGCGGATGAGAGCTAGGCGGAGTATCAAAGTCTGATAAGCTAAGCGGATGAGAGTTAAGCGAGGACTAGCTAGGCGGGGATTAGCTAGACGGAGTACCAAAGATTGGTAAGTTAAGCGGATGGGAGCTAGGCAAGGACAAGTTAGGTGGGGACTCGCTAGGCAGAGTACCAAAGGTTGGTAAGCTACGCGGATGAGAGCTAGGCGACGACTAGCTAGACGGTGACTAGCTAAGTGGACTATAAAAGGGTAGTAATCTAGGCGGATGGGAGCTAGGCGAGGACTAGCTAGGCGGGGACTAGCTAGGCGGTGAACTACGCCTAGCTCCCATCTACTCCAGAGACAACATAAGTGCGTCCAGTTGGTGAACTACGCATAGCTGAATGCGACTAAAACCCGAATCACGACCGGTCCTTCATGAACCGCTACTTACGACCATATCATCTAGCCCCTCAATTGCTTAGACAAGT